CATTTGTGTTTGATTAATGAAAGCAAATGAGCATTAGTCTAGACCTAGAACTTGCTTAGTTTTGTTGTTTAGACTTAAGGAAACATTTAGATTGAAAGCTTGCCATTTTTAGATTGAAACTTGATCACCTAAACCAAATACCCACTCTCATGAGTCTAGCCTTCACTAATTGAGAGAAAGTTTGTTATTTGTTGCATTTTAAATTGTTCTTGAATCATTTCACACTCTTTAAACTNTTAGACTTAAGGAAACATTTAGATTGAAAGCTTGCCATTTTTAGATTGAAACTTGATCACCTAAACCAAATACCCACTCTCATGAGTCTAGCCTTCACTAATTGAGAGAAAGTTTGTTATTTGTTGCATTTTAAATTGTTCTTGAATCATTTCACACTCTTTAAACTGATTGCATTTAGATTAAGCAATGTCTTGCATTCTCTTTGTTCAATAGCACTTAGGATTGGATTGACACTCTACTTACCCTACTACATTGATTTGCTCTAAGGCATAAAAACCCTTATCATTCCACTAAGAAGTCTGCGAGCACTTGCAACTTCGTGCAAGTCTTTGCGTGGCATTTGATGTCATATTCGCTCAGCTCAATTGCCCATTTTGCTAATCTTTCCGATTGGCTGGGACTGTGCAGAATTGTGCGGAGAGGGAAAGAAGTGGGCACGACAATAGTGTGAGACTGGAAATATGGTCTCAGTTTTCTTGCCGACATGACCACCGCTAATGCCAATTTCTCCATCATCGGATATCGCGTTTCCGCGTACAGTAGCGTCTTACTTACGTAAAAGATTGGATTTTGTTCGCCGCGTTCTTCTCGAATGAGGACACCACTTACGGCGGTCATTGACACTGCGATGTAGAGGAATAGTGGTTCTCCTTCTACAGATTTTGCGAGTACTGGCGGGGTAGCTAGGTAATGCTTTAGCTGTTGGAAAGCTTTCTCGCATTCATCAGACCATTCGAACTTTTTGTTTCCCTTAAATGTTTCGTAGAAAGGAAGACAATTTTTCGTCGATCGCGAGATAAAGCGGTTAAGTGCCGCGACCCTACCAGTCAATATTTGTACTTCGCGTTTTGTTCTTAGGGATACCATCTCTATCAGCGCTGTGATTTGTTTCGGGTTGGCCTCAATCCCTCGATAGGTGACGAGATACCCTAAGAATTATCCATATGCGTCGGCGAACCGACACTTTGCGGGATTTAACTTCATGTTATGAAGGTTGAGTCTCTCAAAACATTCTTGGAGGTGCACGACATGATCTTGTTCTTCGAGTGATTTCACAAGCATATCATCGATGTACACATCCATCGTTTTTCCGAGTTGTTCGGAGAACATGCGATTGACAAGTTGTTGATAAGTTGTGCCGGCATTTTTAAGGCCGAAAGGCATTACCTTATAGCAGTAAGTTCCGCGATCGGCTATAAATGTGGTTTTCTCTCGATCGTCAGGGTTCATCATGATCTGATTGTACCCTGAAAAAGAGTCCATGAAAGATAGGAGTTTATTCACCGCGGTTGCCTCGACTAAGCGATCGATATGCGGCAGCGGATAACTATCTTTAGGACACACGCTTTGTTGAGATTAATGAAATCGACGCAAACTCGCTACTTTCCGTTCTTTTTCTTAATGACGACAGGATTAGCGAGCCAGTCAGGATATCAAACTTCTGTGATCGATCCGACTTTGAGGAGTCTGTCGACCGCTTCGGCGCATTCCGGCCTCAGTTTCCGTCTGTTTCGTTTGACGGGTTTGGATGTTGGGTCAACATTGAGTTCGTGACGTGTGATGTTAATGTTGATTCCTGGCATGTCTTCCGCAGTCCATGCGAACGTATTCGAGTTTCTTTTTAGACAAGTCAGGAGCTCGGCTTTTAAAGTCTCGCTCAGGTTTGCACCGATTTCGACGCAGCATTCTGGGAATGCTTCATAGATGCATACCGAGATGACATGTTCGCAAGTAGGCTCGTGTTTACCTTCCAGTGCCTCGGCTGCTCGCAACTGCCAGATGATTTCCGTTTTGTCTTGTTCTGGGGCATTGTCGAGGGCAGACGATTTCTTTTTATTTTTGGAAGGAGCGTCAGCCAGCAGATTTTTCCGTTTTAAATCTGCGGCATAGCAAACCTGTGAGATTCTCTGATTTCCCCAGATGGTCTCGATTTCGCGCGGAGTCGGAAACTTAAGACACATATGGTACGTCGACGGCACCGCTTGCATCGAATTTAACCATGGTGTCCTACGATTGCGTTGTAGGACATGGGCCGATCGATGACTAGGAATTCGACGATTTTGACTATGCTTCCGGCTCAAACCGTAAGGTTGATCGTGCCGAGAGTCATGGTGATTTCTTCCGAGAGTCCTACTAGCGGGATTGTGTTTTCCGCGATTTCAGTCAGATCGATTTCCATTCACTCGAGAGTTTTTTTGAAGATGATATCAGCCGAGCTTCCGGTATCGGCTAATATCCTTGCGACATCCATATTCTGGATCGTCAGCTCGATGACAAAAAGATCGTTGAGAGGTTTGATCAAATCGATCGTTGCTCTTTCTTTGAACGAGATGACATCGCCGTTTAAGTTAGGCATATCTCTTCTCGTTCGTTCTAGCGGTTATTATGTAAGAGAATCCGACCCCCCCTCCTTCTAGTGTCAAACTGTGGGAACCGAAATTCGCATTGTCAATTTTACATCAAATATGGAAACTTAGGGAAAACCCTAATTCTCCCGAGGTCCTGGATCTCTGCGGAAACCACTAAAACAAAAAAGACAAACTAATATAGATGAAGAATTTGCGTAAGAGCGTTTATTGATAAAGAGATTGAATGCTGTTACAAAGAGAATCGCAGAACTTAGACGACAAAACGTTCTAAAGATCCGACTTGCTAGTCTAGCCACCTAAGTCTTAAATTCGCCTAAGCTAACAGCCGTTTTTCTAGGTCTAGAATTCGTCTTCTGCCCTTGTCCCCAATCTTCTGCTTATATACTCCCTCCTAGGCGGTTTAGTCCTTACTTTTTCGCCCAGATTCGAGTTTATCGGAAATCTTTCATTTATCTCGATCTTCCCATTTCTCTGTGGAAATCTTCTATTTATCTCTAAACTTGACATTTATCTTTAAACTTCACATCTATCTTCTTTCTGCGAGTAAATTGTCAAACCGTTGTCGTATCTTTGTGCTGGACCTCGTTTAAAATCGCGAGTAGGCTTTTCTCGCGTTTTAGGACTTTCCGAGCCATTTTGAAAACCGTTTTATGATTTTAGACGAGATCGCTTCTTGATATGATTCCGTTTATAAGTAAGCATCTCGAGTTAATCGTATAGTTTGGCAATGCTCCATGTTTCGTTTAATCGTTGCCGTTTTTTACGATTTACTCGAGGTTTTACTAAAAACGTGTTTTTACGATTTTTTATAAAAAAATCTCGAGTTAATCGTATAATCAGGCAATGTTCGGCGTTTCGTTTGGCCGTTGCCGTTTTATATGATTTACTCGAGTTCTTTCGAGAAAAAAGAATTTACGGTTTTTATCGTAAAACTTGATTGATAAGACGGATCGAGATGAAACAAGAGACGTTCCGATCACGGTTCATGTCACGATTGAAGTCGAGGGACGTATGCTTCGTGTCAGGAGTGCGGGGAGCAGGGCTTGGATTGGTCAGCTCGACGTACGGCGAACTGAACCGGGAACGGTTCAGCTCGCTATTCGGCGAGCTGAACCGGTTGGTTCAGCTCGGTGTACGGCGAACTGGTTTGATCGAACCAACTCGTGATTACGGGGGGCTGGATGTTTTTCGGTCTTTCGATCTGAGATCCTTTCACGAGATTTTGATAAAAAATAATCGTATACATTGATTTCGAGATTACCGTTTTTGACACCAACAACAGCCATGGAAAATTGGGTATAAACAAAATGATCTTTTCTAACCAATTTCTTTTTCTTTTTTTTTTTTTTAAATTGGTTGAAGCATTCAAAAAATTAACAGAATGCCTGCCTAAATAATATCTTATACTTGCTGTGTAATCACTACCTAACGATTTTTAAAACGTTGATTTATTTAATAAAATGTGTAACTAATTACAGAAAACATAACTTACATGTGAAGAAGAATTTTAAATGCTCAACATTAACAAACTACTTCCTAATGCATTCGTAAGAAATATTGATTCGTTAGTTTTCCTCCATTTTGTTCTTGGCCTTGCTCTTTTTTTTGGTTCTCAATTACACATCATTTTCTCTAAATAAAATATTAAATGTGATCCATATGTTATATTGCAATCTGTCTCAAACTCATCCATTACATGAGATAACAGCCATGTTCGGAAGAAAGACGCAGAGTCAGAAACCATTAAAACACAAACGACATGTAAATGAATATAGATGAGGGAGAAAAAAGTGACAGCTGGTGTTTAAAGTCGACTTCAGATTTTTGGAATGGTGACGCTATTAATTCTGGCGTCCCAAAGTCTGTTACATCTAAAGCTTCGCTCGATCGCTGCGGCTAAATCCAGCAAATATTTCTTCAGTTCCACGTTTAAATTTTGATCGCTGACGCTGGTATAGCGTTTACACACCAAACAGGGCATGTTTTTTTTGTAACTATCCATGACATTGAAATTATTTTGCTTTGAAACCGATAAAGCAATATCTTCAATTCGTTTTTTTGACTCCTTGAATTAAAATCCTATGCTCCCTCCCCTTTTCCGTTCCTCTGTATTTTATTCTCAAATGAAAAAAATTGGTTACATCAATTCATCCGAGAAAAGTAAGGTTGTTGTATATCTAGTAATGAGCGCAACACTTGATAACAAACTCTGACCATTTTCACCCTAACAATGAACACCACATAATCTTGAAAGAATGTGTTTAAAATAAACAAAAGGAGGAGCACTTGTCATCATACAGACCCGGTCATGAACCACCAAAAGTAACACATTACAACTCCAAGTGCTTAATGTCTATCAATCTCTTGAAATCTCCTAGCCATGAGGTTTTTTTTTTATGTCGATTCATAGTGTTCACAAGTTGAGATGCTCAAAGGATTAATACCATCTTGCAACATGGGCAAGGAAAGGCAATCGATCCTGTAATACCATAAGACCAAGAATGTCGACACCGGAGAATAACACTCTTGTTGGGAGAAAAGACGTACACCAAACACTCGACGAAACCCTTTGATCTTCCCAGGCTTCCCAGCCAAAACCTTAAGGATTGTTCAGGGAATGATCGCAAAAACGGCAACAAAACGCGATTTGTTTTTTTCCAAATAGAAAGACTTGATGTCCAAATCAACATGAATTGGTTTGATTACTAAACTAATACTATTTGTAAAGAAAAAAAAAACAAGAAACTAGAACAGCCAAAGCCATCACGGATTGTCCTGGTGGAAAACCAGTTTGAAGGAGGTTTACTTAAGAATCATTTTTGGCGCCACTCAAGAGAGTGGTTCTTTTTTTTTTTTTTTTTCAAAATATGCATTTGTGACAATATTTAATGTGTTTTTATTAATAGGTGTGTGAAACACTAAAAAATCGCATTAATCAGGCACTTGTCTTGTAGTAGTTAGCCACTTGTCTCTAAAATCACAAGCTTGTGCTCACTGATATATCAAGTGGATCAAACACGCAAGCCTTATCAAGGATTCCACAGAAAAGTAAGCAACTTTTCATGTCTTCATGATTTTCTGTGTACACTAAGTGTGGTGCGTAGTGTTTACAGCTCATAATGGTTAAGTTACATGAGGCCGAAGTTTCCTTAATAACCACTTCTTGCGTAATTTCACATTTAGTGCTAAGAAAGTTTTGGCCTTGAGGTCATCCTCAAGCAAATCACAAGCATCTAATATAAGCTCCTCATCCATGTCTGGTAACGCTTGAATAGCCTCAACCGCATCTTCTATTCCCATGGTTCGTGGTTTCTTCAGCTTTACAGGGCTTGTACCACTTTGATGAACTCTTTTGTTCTTGGGTTCATACAAAAGAGAGTTGATGTCTTCTTCCTCACATGAACTAGACAAATCGGTTGTACCCTCGTTGAACTCGGCTTCGGGATCAAACCAGTCCGTAGCTAAAATACATTCATTATTCTCCTCAATGATCCGTGAATCTCCACAGACCACACACAGATCTTTGTAGTATGGAATTGGTCGAGTCATAAATTGCCTTGCATCCCTATGAGCCTGTAAGTTTTATTCAGACAAGAACACACTTTGAAAAAGAAACAAAACACATAGGCTTAAGATCAGAGCAATCAAGTGCACCACCTTTATATAGTGTTGCCAGACATTATCATCAGCTGTAACCATATGACGCTCATCATCCCAACCAAAACCATCTGATCCAAGAAGACTCTTGATCGCATTATACTGTCTTCTCAGAGTCTTATACCTGTTCTTCAATACATCCACAGTAAAGCTAGACTCGAATTTGGTATTAAAGAGTTTAACCATCTCAGTCCACGCTTGTTTCCTAAAAGCACCTTCAATCTGGTTTCCACATCTAGCTTGGTCCAACATCAGACTAATGAAATACCGGTCCATTGGAGGATGCCAAGTAGTCCTGCACCGTGAGATGCTGCTTCCTTTGATTGGTTCACATATTCTGTTGTGGCCTTCTTCATCTTCCTCATTACAAGTGTTGGTCTCTCCCTCAGTAATACTCTCCGGAGCTGAAACAAACATAGATCACATACTAAGAATCTAACAGGCCTCAAAGCATAATAAAGTTTGTACCTTTCTGCTCAGACATTCCATCGGAGGAGTAAATCAAACACAGATCTTTGTAAAAAGGAATCGACTTTATCCGAAAAGATCTTGAATTAGGATGACCCTTCAAAAAACAAAACAAAGAAAGTCCTGTCAGTGTTCGGTCTGAAAAGAAGAAGAACAAAGAAAACGCAAAACGCACATCCCAAACGCTATTATCAGCGACCACCATTTGCTTATTTTCATCCCAGCTAAACCCATCTTCTCTCAGAAGATTATTCACAGATCTAAACAAGTTCCTCAACGTCTTATGCCTGTTTTTCAAAACGTCTTTCCCGTAAGGAAACTTGAACCTCGCGGTGAAGGAGGAAGACATGAGCTTCCAAGCGCGTTTGCTGAACAAGTGATCGTCGAATCTGCTCCCTTTCTTCACCTGCTCCACCATAAGCTCTATGAAGTACTCATCCATCTCTGCCGTCCACACCGTTCTTAGCCGCTCGTTATCGTTTCCACCGAGCGTGTTCATCTCGGCGCGTGTGCTTAAGAGCATCAGAAGTCAAATTCGAATTAATTTAGTTACAGAGTAGAGATCGTCGCTTACGGAGGAACTCTGACGGAGAGAGAGAGAGATCGGTGTGAGCTTTTAGGGATAATTTTGTTCGCGGCTGAGGTTGTTCTTTTATCCGCTACCAATTAACAAACCTCTAATGGCCTTATATTACTTTATTGGGCTTTATACTTATTTGACCCAAAATACCAGTATGCCGTAACGACATCGTTTCCAGCAGTCTGTTTTTTTGGGAGAAAGGTTATTCTTTTTTTTTTTTTTTGAACACGGAGAAAGGTTATCTATCACTGTGTTTCCCATTCTGTAGGTTCAGTTAAATTAGATTTTCACTATCATCCTCATTAGCCTTATTCATTTTTTACCTATCTTTAGGTCGGATTTGAGTCATTTATTTCCATATTCGCTTCAGATCAAGTTAGAACTAATGTTTAAAATTATTAAAATTTCTGCACAAAGTAATAACATTAATCAAAATAATTCAAAATATTGAATTATTCAGAAAAACAGATTAAACCTTGTCAAACTAACTATTATATAAGAGTATTTGAAATATTTTTAAAGTAATTTTGTATACAAATTAAAAATATCTAAAATATATAATTAAAATATGATGTCAAAATATATAAAACCCATATAATAGATTTATTTAATTTCAAATACTTTTGCATCCAAATTAGATTTCGGTTTGTATTGTAAAATTACCTAACTCCTAGATTTGTTTGGCTATTTTATAACAGTTTTGATAAGATTTGAGGTATTTGAATTTAGATTTAGTTAGGTTTATAGGTTTAGATATAAACAAGTTGTGCTAAATATCTGCAAGATAATAACCTACTTAAATCCAAAATTTAGGATAATAAACCGTTCATGCTCGCGTAAATATCAGAATCTATACTATTAAAATTGAATGTCTTTTTAAAAAATTGTTTTTCTGTTTTAAAAGTAATTACATTCTCATGCCACTGAAATATTTTAAAACTATGATTTTCATTAAATTCTGTATTTTTTTCTTTTGAAATCAGTATTAATAAAACATAATTTTTTTTTGATATCTCCTTAATTTTTGATAAATATTACACTTGTGCCATTCACATATCTATGACAAACAAATTAATTTGTTTTCAGATCAGTTATGAAAAAATCATGAAGTAATACTGATTTACTTTCCTTTTAAATTTTCAAAATTAATTTAAAACATTTTGATTTTGCATTTTCTATGCTGACATTAATTTAGACAATATAACTTCACGTTTTATACATTATATATGAAGAGAATTTTATTGATGTCAAACTTAGAAACCATATGGTTTGCATATTAAACTTTAAAATTTAGACTATTTATATTATATATACTATCTAATCTATTAAAATGGAAGTACAAATAGGAAATACCCCTTAATTTTCCTCAAAAATTACAATGACATGCCACTGAAAAATAGTTAACTATATAAATCAATCAATACATTTATAAAAAAAATTGGATTATTCACGTGTACACACAATCCTTCACAATAGTAATGAACCAATTGGTTTATAGATGTATCTAACATTATACAAACCTTCACAATTGGCTGGTTTGTACCTATATATGTCTAACATTTATTTCAAGATCGAAGCAAGCCTGTTCATTGAGATCGACAGTCGAACTTATACGAACAATAACATCAAAACATTTGTTTGGTGATAATAGATATATAAGTTAGTAGCATGTCTTGTGTATGATAATAAA